TTAGTGGTAGACAAACCTTCAAGTGGTTGAGAAGATTGAAATTGAGCCATCCCCGATCAACTCCTAGGTGGTTAAACCTTCAAATTGGAGCCCTTGCTCTGATACCAATTGTTGACTCAATGCACTCCAAGAGGGGGGGTGAATTGGAGTTGAAGAATTTTCACCTCTTTGCAACCACCAAACAAAAATTAAAGAGAGAGTTGAGAAGAAGAGCTTGCACAATGATTTTATAAAGGTTCGGTCCAACCACTTGGAGCCTAGTCCTCTACCTTGGCTTCACTCACCAAGGATTTCCTCCACACTCTCCACTAACAAAAACAATGGTGGCTTAAAGGAGCCACTCAATCCTTTACAAGAAAAAGGGTGTTTCTCTCAAATCTCACCCCTTTACACTTAAACCCCAAAGATCCTCTCTACATATCACTCTTGAAGGAATCAACACACCCTCAAGATCACTCACTAATAGCACAAGAAGAGGATTACAAACAAAGATCTCTCAAAGATCAAAAACTCAAGTTAAAGCTCATGTAGGTAGGTAAAGATATTCAATACAATACTCTCTTAACTTCTTCAGATCTGTTACCAACCATATTTATAGCCCTTTGCTCGAAAATAGCCATTTCTAGCCATTGGGGGTCATTAAATGCTCTGCAGGACACAAAGCTCGAGCTACAGGATTGTCAAGAGAGTCGGCTTAACTTCCTAGAGCCGGCTATCCGGGTTTGCAACCCATTCTGTTTTCCTTGAGAGCTGGTTGTAAAACTTTAAGCCGGCTTTGAAACTCCGACTTTAAATACATTAAATATTCTTCAAATAAATCGACCGTTGTGCATTAAATGCACCCTCACAGCCGGCTACAAAGTTGGAGCCGGCTTTGCGTCTTTTCTCCGCGCGTGCCAAACAACTGTCTTCAAATTTTTGCCCGTAGAGCCGGCTACAGCTTCCAGAGCTGGCTCTCTGCACTTCCATTTCACCAGAGCCGGCTACAGCTTTTAAGAGCCGGCTCTCTGCACATTTGAATCCTTTTGGTCTATTTTTAGTGCAATCCAAGTTTAGGTGCAATCCAAGTTTACTTGCAATCTTTTAGCAACTTAACTACACACTTAAATAAATCAATTAGTCACTCAAATATGTTTTGTAATCATCAAAATCATAGGTACAACATAAGGTTGATGTAGGCAGCTATATGCTTACAGGTGAAGCGTTGACTTGGTGGGAGAGTTACTTGAAGCTACACCAAGGAGAGCCTACATTGAGCACCCGAGATGGTTTTAAAAAGGTGTTCATGTGAGAATACATACCCGATAGCAAAAGGTGTGAGCTACAAAGGGAATTTGCTGATCTTAAACAAGGGTCATGTACTGTTAAGTAGTGGGTCATGTACTGTTGAGTAGTACAAGAAGGAGTTTGACCGCTATCTGCCTTTTGTGGATAGTCAAGTTAGGGATGAGCAAGTCAAAATCGATAGGTTTTTATGGGGCTTTAATCCTAACATCTATCTGGTAGTGAATCAATTCAAACCCACCACTTATAGAGAGGCGGCAAACAGAGCCATAAATCAGAAGAAGGCTATGGCTAGAGTCAAGACACCGAACCCACAAAAAGTTGGGTCATCCCTTAGGAAGAGAAAGTTTGATGGGAGCCGTAGACCCTTTATCTTTGCACTGTCTAAGTTTGTTACTGGTAAGGGTTCTAAAGAGCTAATGGTTGTCAAGACTGCGGGTCAAGCATCAGCAGCCCAGCGTACTCATCCTACTCCACTTATTTGCCCCACTTGTGGAAGAGTTGGGCACACCCGTGACCAGTGTCACATTACTACTGGGGCTTGCTTCAAATGTGGCAAGCAAGGACATCGGGTTGTTAATTGCTCGCAGCTAGACCCCAGAGCTCAGAGTACTCAATCTACATCTCAGTAGGGTTCTCCTAATTAGGGGGCACAAAAACAGAATGCCGAAGTTAGGATAAGAGCCTAGCAGGCGAGAGTGCATGTGATAACTCACAAGGAAGTTGCGGCTACTGATGTAATCATAGGTACTTTACCTGTCAATTCTAATTATGCACATGTTTTATTTGATTCAGGTGCATCACACTCTTTTATAGCTCAATCGTATGCTTTGAAACGAGTTTTACCTATTGATACCTCCAATTTTGAACTACATGTGAACACCCCTTTAGGAGGGGTGATGACTACTGGAGATGTGTGTATGACTATAGATATTTATATTGACGGTAGACAATTGAGTGCTAGCCTATTTGTTTTAGATATCTTTGATTTTGACATCATTTTGGGGATGAATTGGCTATCAAAATATTTTGCCTCTATAGATTGCAATCGTAAATGGGTAATTTTTAATATTCCTGGGGAACCAAAATATAGTTTCCAAGGCAATGGTTCCTTTGCTCCACCCATACTAATATCGGCCTTGTAGGCTCAGAAATATCTTATAAATGGTTTCCAGGGTTTCTTAGTTTCTATCATGATGCCAGTAGTGTGACGTTGAGACTAGAAGACATCCTTGTGGTGTGTGAGTTCCAGATGTATTTCCAGAGAATCTCCCAAGTTTACCTCCAAATAGGGAGATTGAATTGGCTATTGATCTTGTTCTGGGCACCAGACCTATTTTCAAAGCCCCGTACCATATGGTTTCTACGGAGTTGAAAGAGTTAAAGGTCCAATTGGAGGAACTCCTTGAGAAAGGGTTTATATGACCTAGTGTGTCACCTTGGGGAGCTCCAATATTGTTTGTTAAAAAGAAGGATGTGAGCATGAGACTGTGCATAGATTACCAAGAACTGAATAAGGTGACTGTGAAGAACCGATATCCCCTTCCTAGAATTGATGACTTGTTTGATTAGCTTAAGGGTGCCCAAGTGTTTTCTAAGATTGATCTCCAGTCTGTCTACCATCAGTTGAAGATTAAACCTGATGATGTGCCAAAGACTGCCTTTCGTACCCGCTATGGTCACTATGAATTTCTGGTTATGCCTTTTGGCTTAACAAATGCCCCTGCAAGATTTTTGGATTTGATGAATTGGGTATTTAGTAAAAACCTAGATAAGTTTGTGGTTGTCTTTATTGACGACATTTTGATTTACTCTTCTAACCATGCTTTTTTGAAAAGCACTTAAGGACAATTCTCAAGACATTGAGAAGTGAGAGACGGTTTGCTAAATTTAAGAAGTGTGAATTTTGGGTAGATAATGTTGCATTCCTAGGTCACGTTGTGACTAAGGATGGAATCTCCATTGACCCCCAGAAGATTGAGGCCGTGGTGGATTGGAAAAGGCCAAATAGTGTTGTAGAAATCCGTAGTTTTCTAGGATTGGTTGGTTATTATCGCCGATTTATGGGGGATTTCTCTAGAATTGCTCTGCCAATGACCCATCTGATCAGGAAGGACACCAAATTTGAGTGGACTCCAAAGTGTGAGAAGAGCTTTTTGACCCTTAAAGAGAAACTAGTCACTGCTCATGTACTCGCACTTCCCATCAATGGGGAAGGATTCACTATATATAGTGATGCCTCTAAAAAGGGTTTGGGATGTGTCTTGATGCAGAAGGATAAGGTTATTGCATATGCTTCATGGCAGTTAAAGCCTTATGAAGAAAATTACCCCACCCATGATCTGGAGTTGGCAACGGTAATATTTTCACTCAAGATCTGGAGGCATTATCTATACGGTGAGACTTGTGAAATTTTTACCAATCACAGGAGTCTCAAGTATATTTTCACTCAAAAGGAGCTTAACATGAGGCAGAGGCGATGGCTTGAACTTTTGAAAGATTATGACTTGACCATTAGCTACCATCCAGGCAAAGCCAACAAAGTAGCAGATGTGTTGAGTATGAAGTCTTTTGGCACTGCCTCTAGCATCCTTACCACCCAGAAGGAGTTACTTAAGGATCTTGTGAAACTAGATGTGGAGTTGAGAGTGGACAGTACTACAGCTTATCTAGCAGCTCTCAATGCACAACCGGCATAAATTGATAAAATTAAAGTTGCCCAACAAAAAGATCATTTCTTGCAAAGGTTGAAGGAAAAAGTAAAGACGGGGGAACCCCACATGCAAGAATTCAAAGTTTCTAACAATGAGACTCTGTGGTTTGGTGACAGGCTGTGTGTACCAAGAGATCATGCTTTAAGGCGTGAGATTATGGGAGATACCCATAATACTAGTTACACAATTCACCTAGGTAGCACCAAGATGTATCGTGACTTGCGTAGTACATTTTGGTGGCGGAATATAAAGAAAGAGATAGCTAGATTTGTCTCACAATGCCTGATTTGCCAGAAAGTCAAAGTTGAACACCAAAGACTTCCTAGGAAACCACAGCCGTTACCTATTCCCCAATAGAAGTGGGAGAATATCACCATGGACTTTGTGACGGGTTTACCGCAAACCTTAAAGGGAAATGATTCCATCTGGGTCATCGTTGATTGATTGACCAAGTCAGCACATTTCTTACCTTACCGAACTAGCGCATCCATTGAGAAGCTTGCCAATATGTACATGAATGAGAGAGTCAGGGTGCATGGAGTCCTTGTGTCTATTGTGTCATATAGAGATACAAGATTCTTATCTCATTTCTGGACAAGCTTGCAGCAGGCACTTGGTACTCAATTAAATTTCAGCACGGCCTTCCATCCTCAAACTGACGGGCAATCTGAGAGAACTATTCAGATACTGGAGGATATGTTGAGGGCTTGTGTTCTAGATTGGAAGGGTTCATGTGATCAGCACTTATCCATGGCTGAATTTGCCTATAATAATAGTTACTAGTCTAGCATCCGCATGGCACCGTTTGAGGCTTTGTATGGTCAAAGGTGTAGATCACCTGTTTGTTGGGCAGAGGCAGGCGAGAGAAGCATTTTGGACCCAGAATTGGTGCAACAGTCTTTTGAGATTGTGCAATTGATCAAGGAAGGCCTTCGTGCTGCACAGAGCAGGTAGAAAAGCTCTACGAATAGAAAGAGACGAGACCTTGAGTTTGAAGTTGGTGACCATGTATTTTTGAAGGTGTCATCCACTCGAGGTGTCCTTAGGTTTGGCATTCATGGAAAATTGAGTCTAAGGTATATTGGACCATATCGTATCTTGGAAAGGGTTGGCGAGTAGCTTACCAATTGGAGTTGCCTGAAAATTTAGCAGGTGTTCATGATGTGTTCCATGTGTCATTACTTCGGAAGTATATTCCCAACCCGAGCCACATCATTGATTCCGAACCCATTCAACTTCGAGAAGATCTCACTTATGATGAGCACCCGATCCGTATTTTAGATTTCAAGGAGAGGGAAATGCAAAGAAGGACTATTTGTTTTGTTAAGGTCCTCTGGGATAACCATTCGATTGAAGAAGTTACTTGGGAGTTGGAATCCAAGATGAGGCAGGAACATCCGCACCTCTTCTAAGATTGAGGTATGAGTTTAGGGGACTAAACTCCTTTTTAGGAGAGGTGGATGTAATACCCCAAAAATTTCTAGAACAATTAAGTGAGTTAGGGACCTAATTGTGAGAAAATAATATTGTTGAGCTTAATCATCAAACCTTCAAAGTTGAGGGACTTAAAAGAGAAAAGAATTAAGATAAGGATCACCTGATTTTTTTTTGTTTTCCTTCTTTCTTTCTCCTCAGCCGCGTGTTCTACTCTTCTTCTTCTTATCCCCTGCACCGAACAAGGAACCCAAGCCCGACAACATCACCCACTTGAAAAACCGGTAAGAAAAGCTTGATTTTTCTTTCTTTCCTTGTTTAAGAACAAGATTCAGAGCCTTGAAATCTTTCCCCTCTACAGAAATTTCCAGATCTGCTCTGTTTTGTTCCTTCTGTCCGTGCTTCGCTGTGTGTGTGGGTGTGAATTTTCCAAATTTCTGGTAAGAAACAGCCACTGATTCCTCTATGCTTCCTTGAATTGACTTGGGTTTACTCTAATTTCTCTTGGTTTCTCCCAATTTTTGGTAGATCCCAAAAATTTCCCCTACACCTCCGCTGGCTTCCCCCAACCTGCAGCTCCGTTTTGCTTGCTGAAAATTCTGGTATGTGACAGCTCAATCTAAGTCCAAATTACCCCTTTAATTGCTGAATTTATCCATTTAAATTGCTGCCCTATGCTGTCCGAAATTCTGCAAAAATAAGTGATGATTTCCAGTAGTGATTAGATCAAAATTGAGCTTAATTCATGTAGAATTTATATGATTGGGTGTTAATTGGCTGTTATGACGTTCTGGAGAAAAAAAATCCCGTGAACTAGCCATTGATTGGCCAAGGCCGGTTCCTCCATGTTGTCTGGGAAATTGGAGAATTTTGTATATGTGTGTTATGTACATCTATATAAATGTACAATCTGATTTCTGTGCTCAATTTTGGATAGAAGAAAAAATGAGAATAAATAAATAAGATTTCTTTATGGGATTAATGGCTAGCAACAATAGGAGGGTTTAAATGTCTAGTTTATACTAAGAAGAAAATTGAGATGTCCGGTCATATGGTTATTAATTCTGGAATATTTTGGTTAGGTTCTTGATTGTTCTACCACCCTAGCACTTGGAGTGAGTTTTCTGTGTTATGTGACTGAGGTAAGGAAATTATGGTAATGTCCTTCGATTTCAAAGTAAAAGCATATTTTAAATTATTTTTGAGATGGTGGCAAGGTTTAAATTGATTTTATTAGCACTGAGCATGATTGGTTTGAAATGAAATTATTTTCATTTTCATTGAGTAAGAGCATGCCTACTTGGAGTTACTTAACTGCCCTGATGATTTGAAAATTTTTGCAAATTATGATTTTCCCATTAAATCCTTGCCTACATGAAATTTTTCTGGTTTATTCTTGAAATTTGAGATTGATTGTGAATTATGGATTTTCCTGTAAATCCTGCATGGTTTTGTCTCTAATATAGTCATGATTACTGATTATTGACCCTCGCTAGTGGGAGTTTGAAACGCCAGCACATGTCGACATGTTTACTGATAGGACTGGTTCATTCTGTAATCCTGCCAATGGGATAATACATTGGTTATTACTAACGCCTGCCAATGGGCTAATACATTGGTTATTACTAACGCCTGCCAATGGGCTAATACATTGGTTATTACTGACGCCTGCCAATGGCAGTTATTAAACACTAGCCATTACTTATAGATGAAACTACTACTAAATCTTATTCTGCATTAACTGTTTATCACTGAGCACTTTGTTATTGATTTATAGATGAGACTACTGTTGAATCTTGTTTTGCATTAACGATTTATCATTGAATGTTTTGTTATGATTAAATTGTTTATCAGGCATGCTTAAATTTTACTCACAGGCTACCCATATTTTTACTTATTGAGATATCTTATCTCATAGTTTTCCTTGTTCACCATTTCAGGAAGTGAAAGCCAAGGCATGGTTAACCAGGGAGAGTGATGAGCTAGACGGCTAGTCAGTATTGTGAACTTAGATCCTTTTTGGGCTTAGGCCATTAGCCACACATGCTTGTCATAGATATGAAACGACAAATCATTTTTGTATACTGAGTTTCCCTTGGTTATAGCCATGACTGTTTTATAAACTTTTGTACATCTGGACTAGCAAATTTTTGGTAATTGAAAGCTAGATATTAACCGAGTTTCTAATTTAAGTTATGTAAATTGGTAATTATAAACACAATAAGTTTCGAGCCTTGTATATTTGTGAGACCCATTCACGAGTTCATGGCGTCTGTTTCGCTCTTGGTTTTGCGGCATGACATACATAGTTAGAGAGATTTTTCAACAGTTTTGAAGTGGGGAAATTTGACTTGTGTTGCTGGGGTAGATAGGGTCGCAACAGGCCTCGCGCACTAGGTAATCCCTCCTAGTCCCCATCCTTGTCCCCTCCCCATTCCTGTTCCCACGAATGGTAGGGACAATGATTTTTGTGGAGATTTTGGCTAAATTCAATAAATAATTTATTAATTATGTGATTTATTTTAGTTTAATTTAGAAATAATTTTTTTTTAAGAATTATCTATAAATTGTCAATTTTGTTTTAAAATGGTCTATTTGACAAACATTATGTTAAGACTAACGGAATGTTGGTCTAGACAAGTTAGTATAAACAAATTGTCTCCTAAACTTTTGAAAAATATTAAATATAGTACATATATTTTTATTTTTTGTAATATTTTTTTGAATTTAAATTCTATGTTAAATGTAATAACTAATTAAGATAATAATTTTAATTTACAATAATCAATATCATAATTTAAATTTTACTATTTTTTAAAAAACCTAATAGCATTATTATATTACATATTTTTTCA